TTCCCTTTTGTAAAATGGGTAGGATCCTATTTGTTATATGATCGAGCCACAGTATGATCATACTTGCAGTATGAATTACAAGTTTATACTACATATGATTTATACATATGCATGAGATCTTACTTTTACTATGAACTACATTGGCATTGTTGTGAGGAAAGTACTTTGTAAACTGTAAATCGAAAATATAGCTTTAATCATTATTCTCAATAATGAACTTGGTTAAATTTCAATTTAACTGTGAGTCCTGTCTGCCTCCTTAAGCCTCTTCTCAAGAACCATCACCACAGCCTATGGAGTGGCCATTTCCTCTTTCTTTCAGTGAAAGGTCTTACATTAATCCATGAAAATTGTTGCAGCCACAAATTTTGTTCAAGGTAGCCAGGCTGGTGAGGATAATTATAATTAGCAGTTATATAACATGTTTGTTCTTCAAAGTGCTTTATAAGCATCAACTAATTAATATGCTACTATCTCCCATGTGGATCCCCTCATTTTCTATAAAGCATGACTAATGCCTAATTCCCAGTGAAATGAGAGCACTTACAGGGACTCAAGTTCTGGAGTGGGAGACAGGAGACTCTTTCCACCTCTGGCCTTGATTTATGGCATGATCTTGATGTAGAAGAAATGAGGGAGGCTTCCACTACATTACTAACCTTTTGAGGTCAGTGTCATAGAAGGTGGTTACCATACTCTCTCACAAACTAGCCCTTAATATAGCAATCCCAAAACAGAATTATAGGCTGGAGAGACAACTGGTCTGATCCTATGTGGCCACATATCCTTCTACAAGTTACTTTTTCTCAATCTCTCCAAATATGAATATCTGTCCTCTGTTTTACCACTCCATATCCTTTACTAGGCTGTTGTGAGGATGACCAAACACGGGATTTCCAATACTTCTCTATGGAATGACTCAGGCAGAACCTGTATATTTCATGAAAGAATTACTCTACATGTATTAGGGAACATGGTTTTAGGGATAAAACAATGAGTTCTGTTTGGAGATTGAGTTTAAGATTGATTGAGAAGATGGCAGAGTAAGCCAGAAAATTCCAAGCTCTCAAGATTTTCTCCTGCGAAAGAGATAAAAAGCACCTCAGGGTGAGCAAAATGCAGGTGAAAATAAATAATTGGGACATCCAATTTGAGACATGCAATGGGCAGCCGGTAATGCACGAGTGAAGCTAAGAAGAGAACCCAGGACTGGATACACACAGGTATGTATATATGTATGTATATGTGTGTCTGTCAGTGTATGTATGGAGGGGGAGAGAGAAAAGATAAAAAAGAGGAAGGAAAGGGAGAGGAAGAGGGAGAGACAAAGGGAGATGGAGAAGGAAGGAAGGGGGAGAGAGAGGGGGAGAGAGAGAGAGAGAGAGAGAGAGAAATTGAACATGTGGGAGGTAAGTAAGATAGCATAGAGGAAAAAAAAGAAGGTTCAGGACAAAGCCACTCAGTTAGTGGGAGTGACATGGATGAACATGAAAGGAGACTGAAAAGGAGCACTCAGACAAATAAGAGGAGAACTTGGAGAGAGCAGGGTCGTGAAAGCCTACAGGAGAGATTATTTAGGAGGAGAGGGTGATTAATAATGTCAAATGCTGCGGAGAGGTCCATTCCAATTGCTAGACATAATAGAGACATGACCCAGGAAAAATACCTTTAGCTTTTACTCCTTAGGGAAGAAATCTACTTTTCCAGAATCAGCTAACCAGGAATTATAGGCCACATCCTAAACTAAGGTAATTGCTTAGAAATTAATACCTTGAAGACCGCGGGAGTAGGTTAGAAAATTCCAAGCTCTCAAGATTTTCCCCCACAAAAGAGATAAAAAGCACTTCAGGGCGAACAAAGTGCAGGTAAAAAACAATAGAATAGGGGAACAACAGGGGTCCTCCTGGGACAATCCAAGAAGATCTGAAGGAAAAACCCAGGATGAGGTTTGGTTCCTGTGAAGAGTAAACACCTCCAGTCTAGGGTCCACTTAAACAGCATGCAGCAAGCCCCGGGGGTTATCTGGGTTGGAAGGCTGCCTCGGCCCCAGCCACAGGAAATTTTACCCGAAACAGCAAGAGGAGTCTGAACAGGGAAAAATCAAGGGAACCTCTGCTGACAAGGAACACCAGACCCAGCTGTGCTGCAGAGAGCTTCGGGTGTGAGAAGGAACCAGCACATTCCCAGTGAGTGCAGAGGCAGTGGGGTGGAGACACCCCTGCCTGTGGGCATTTACGGGAGGCTGAAGGTTTGGCTTTGGTTCCAGGCTAGAGAGGAGAAGTGAAGATCCGAGGCCAAAGACACCATCCCCCATGCTCCAGGACTAAAGATGATTACAAAAATTAAGCTATTATTATAAAAAAATGCACAGTCAAAAGAGAAAGAATACAACCATAGAAAGGCATTATGGAAATAGATAAGATCCTCTTCTACCCCAAAGAGTAACATCAAATGGTCACCTGCCCAAAAAGAATTTACAGAAGAACTTTAAAAAAAACTTTAAAAATCAAATGAGAGACATTGAGGAAAAACAAAAAACAAAAACAAACAAAAAAAGAACAATCCAAAAAAAAAAAAAAAAACAAGACGATTATGAAAAGAAAGTCAACCAATTAGAAAAGGAGAGCCAGAATCTTAAGGAAGAAAATGACACCTTGCAAATTAGAATGGTCAAAGGGAAGCCAGCAAAGTTATGAGATCAAGAAACAATAAAACAAAATATAGAGAATGAAAACATAGAAGAGAAAGTGAAACATCTTATAAGGAAAACAACTGATCTGGAGAACATAAAAATAATCAGACTACCTGAAAGCTATGATCAAAAAAAAAAAAAGAATCTTGATGCAATAATACAAGAAATAATCCAAGAAAATTGTCCTGAAGCATTAGAACAAGGGGGGAAAGTAGAAATATAAAAAAAAATCCATCAATCACCACTTGAAAGAGATCCTATTAGGAAAACTCACAGGAATAGTGTAGTCAAATTCTGAAACCCCCAACTCAAGGATAAAATATTAAGATCAACAAGAAAAAAACAATTTAAATATGACAATGCCACAATTAAAATCCCACAAGACCTAGCAGTGGAGACACTAAAGGACCACAGGTCTTGGAACACTATATATAGAAGAGCAAAAGAACTAGGGTTCCGGCCAAAAATATCATACCCAGCAAAGTTAAGCATAATCCTGAATAAAAAAAAAAAACACACATTTGATCAAATGTCAGACTTTCAGGACTTTGTTTAAAAAAAAATAAACCTGAACTTAGTAGAAGATTTGACATACAAGAGCTAAGAGAAGCATAAGGTACATACCAAAGACTGATTACAAGGGATTCAATAAGGACAGACCATTTGCCTTTCACATATGTAAAATGCAAAACGAATGTCTAAGATTGTCATTAACAATCGGGTAGTTTGTAAGAAAGATTGGGGTAGACCTGAGTATGATAAGACTTTAAAAAGTAAAACCATCAAGGAACAGTTACAAATAGTAATTATCTTATACAAATAAAGTATGAGAGGAAGAATCGACACAGAGGAATTAGACGGGGGAGGAAGGCTGTTAGCTCTGGAAACCTACTTTCACTGGGAATGGGTTCAAGAGGGAACAATACATATATATCGAGAAGAGTATAAAAGTCTTTGAAATTCAGAAAAAATAAAACAGTAAGGGAATAGGGAGAGGGAAGAGGACAAGGGAGGGATTTCTAGAGCGGAGAGTGAGGGAATAGGTTAAAAGGGAGGAATAGAAGGGTGTTGAGATCAATGAGAATGGGAAGATAAGGGAGGGATCTTTACAGAGAAGGGAGAAGGAATAGGTTAAAGGTGGGGTATAGAAAATTGTTTAGATTTATGGGAATGGAAGATAGGGAAGGGATCCTTGGAGGCAAGGTAGGCTAAGTAATAGGGCAAAGTAGCAGGTAGAAGTAAACTCGAGGAGTCAGGAGGGAGAGAAAATAACAGATATGAATAAATATGAAAACAAAGATCAGGAATAGAATTTGTTAGGGAAAGTATATGGCTATATATGTATGTGTGTATATGTATATGTGGAGGGGGAAAAAAGAACAAAGTAACAAAGAACAAAGTAAAAAGTACACAGCAGAGAACAAAAGAAAACTTACAAGGAAGCAAAGAAAAGATGGACAGCTCTTAACACAATGTGTAGAATTTATCATACAGGCTTTCTTGAAATGAAAATGTATTGCTATATATTTTGATTCCTCTCATGTTCTGCTGTGCACGCAACATATTTTTTTCCTTTCTTACTTTGTATTTAAGTTTCAATATTTAAGTTTATGATTTTTTACAGATGAGGAAACTGAGTCCCAAAGAAGTTAAGTGATCTACCCAGGGTCACAAATTTTAGAAGCATCAGAAGTGAGATTCAAACTGACCTTTTCCCACTGTATCATGTTGCCTCCCCATCAAATTGAATAGCCACAGTGAACCTAATGCACTAAGAAATTTATTAATAATAATAGTAAACATTTATATAGGACTTTAAGATTTGCAAAGTGCTTCACATATGCTATCTCATTTATTCTCACCTCAACACTGTGAGGCAGGTGCTTTTATTATGTCCATTTTATAGTTAAAGAAACTCACGATGAAAAAAGTGAAGTAACTTGCCCAGGATCACACAGCTGGTAAAGTGTCTGAGGCAGAACTTGAGCTCAGGTCTTCCTAACTCCAAGTATAGAGCTCTATCCACTGTTCTACCTAGTTAACACATACACATGTGTATATGTGTGTACACATACATATACATATACATATATGTAATATACTGTGTAAACATGCATATATGTGTATTATATATACATAAACACACTGGGCCACCTAACTATCATATATCATAAATATATACTTGGGGAGGCTGGGAAGAGAGAAGATTTTTCAAATAGGGGTAATGTTGGAGCCCTCCCATTTCCACACACACGGGCTTTATATTGTTTCCAAGTGAGAAGAATTCAGGTTGTGATACAGTCTATACCTGTGCAATGTACAGTGTTTTTCCTCCAGGTACCTTCTGCCGTGCAAAGTAAGGTAAGGTACCCTCCAGTGCTCTCAAAGCCATCTATACAAGTATAGTAGACCACACTTCCCAAATTAGAACTGTAGTTCCCCACAAGGATGGCATGCTGGATCACTGGTGGGCTACCACACTCTATCTCTGCAATAGAAAATAATACACACATATTTGCATATTTAGATATAGATATAAACATATACATGCACATACATATGTAAATACATATATGTACATATATGAAAAGAGAATGAATAAAAAAAGAGAAGAGGGCCCTCATTCTTTTTTCTTTTTTAAAATTATGTTTCATTAAATATTTCCCAATTCAATATAAAAAATTTTTAACAATCATTTGTAAAAATTTTGAGTTCCAAATTCTTTCCTCCTTCCCATCCTTCCCCCCTCCTTGAGAAGGCAAGCAATTTTTTATCAATTACACATGTGAAGTCTTGCAAAACATACTTCCATATTGTCCATGTTGCAAATGAAAACACAAATAAAACAAAATAATAAAAATAAAAAGTAAAAATATATGCTTCAGTCTGCATTTAGAGTTCATCAGTTCCCTCTCTGAAGTTGGATCACATTTTTCATCCTGGTTCCTTTGGAAGTGTTGTGGGTCACTGCCTTGATCAGAGTTTTATAGTTGGTCATCTTTATAATACTGCTTTTATTGAGTGCAATGTTCTGGTTCTGTCCACTTTACTTTGCATCTGTTCATATGTCGTCCCAGGTTTTTTGAAACCATCCTGCTCGTTATTTCTTATAGCACAATAGTATTCCATCAGAATCATATACCACAATTTGTTTAGCCATTCCCCAACTGATGAGTATCCCTTCAATTTCCAATTCTTTGCCACCACAAAAAGAGTTACTATAAACATTTTGGTACAAATAGGTCCTCTTCCCTTTTCATTGATCTTTTGGGGATACATTTATAACCCTTTGGGTCTAGTTCCAAACTGTTCTCTAGATGGTTGGACCAGTTCACAACTCCATCAACAATGCATTAGTGTCCTAATTTTTCCATATCCCCGCCAGCATTTATCATTTTTTTTCTATCATGTTAGTCAATCTGACAGGTCAGAGCTGTTTTAATTTGCATTTCTCTTATCAGTAATAAGTCGGAGCATTTTTTCATGTGACCATTGATAACTTTGATTTCTTCTGGAAACTGCCTGTTCATATCCATTGACCATTTATCAAGTGGGGAATGGCTTTTATTTTTTAAATTTGGTTCAGTTCCCTATCTATTTTAGAAATCTCATTCTTTTTTCCCCAAAACCTTCTTTCTATAATACAGTTGAGGATACTACCAAACTCCTGTTGTCCTGGATCCAACTTCAGGATCATCATTGACTCTTCAGTTTCACTAACCCCACCTAGTTACCCATTGCCAAATCTTGTCATATTTATCTTCATAGCATTTTTCCTACACATCTCCTTCTCTCTATTCTCATAGCCAACCTTGTATAGCCTCATCACCTCTTGCCTTGACTACTAAAAAACCTCCTATACACATAATATATACCAATATTATATACAAATATATGCATATATGACATATATATAACATTATGTGCATATGTAAGTGTATGTATATATACATATGTGTTTGTTTATTTAACAAAGGGTTGGCAAATGTCTAGATCCCTGTTGCCTACATATTTTTGTTTACCTACGTTACACACACACACACACACATATATATATATATATATATATATATATATATTTTAAAATAGGATTTTGGCACATGCCCAGACTCCTATTTCATACATATCTATATATGTAATAGGGGTTTGGTGCCTTCCCAGACCCCTGTTTTAGATAGATACACAGAGACAAAGACAGAGACAGAGAGAATCTAGTCCAATCCCTTCATTTTATAGATGAGGAAACTGAGACCTAGAGAGGTTGTACTCACATGTATACAGCTCACAAATAGCTCACACTTACATAGCACTTATAAAATTATAACACAGTGATCATATACTATCTCATTTACTCCTCATAACAACAACTAGCATGACAGAGTAGAGAGAGTCCTGGTTACACAGACAGAGGGCCCTGGGTTCAAATTTCAGTCACTACACCCTCCAAATCCTGGGTTGCTGTCAGGACCTGTTAATATGCCCTGAAACATATTATGCCCTGCCATCATTGTTTCAGAACCCTTGGGACTTCTCTACCTTTCCAATTCTACCGAAGCTGAGCCCACATATAATGTTGTTTAATCCGGGGCCTTCTGTCTCCATATCGTCCCTTTTTTTCCACTTTTTTCTATTTGTATTACCAGGGTTTGGCACATAGCAAATGCTTAATAAGTACTTTTTCATTCATTTATTCTATTGATTGCAAATGCCAGGGTGTGCTGGACCTTGCTCAGATCTCTTGAGATCAATAGTCAATTTTCATGTGAGAATTTATACCTTGGAAATCAGCAAATATTACAAATCAGGGCTTGATTTATTGCTTAGTTGACTGCCTAGACTTAAGAAAGTGATGGAGATAATGTTAATAATGCAGATTAAACTTAAAAGAGTGTCATTAATACATGTGTATGTATGTATATATGTATGTATGCATGCATGTGTATATGTATACATATAGATGTGTATATAAATGCACATACACATATGTACACACACATATATGCTGATGGTTAAACGTTTACCAGCATGCCCTTGTATACATGTGACCTTGAGCAAGACTTTAAACCTTTCTTTTCCTCATGTGTAAAGTCTGGGTTTAAAACACAGAGTCTCTGTGATCCTCCCTAAATCTAAATGGAATCCCGTACAATGGAAAATACAACCATTTTTGCCATTTTAGATATGAAGAAATTGAGGATCAAGGAGATTCAATGATTCACATAAGGGGCCCCAGATAAGGAAATGGCCAAGTCAGACCCAGAAGCCAGGTCTTCTGACTACATCCAGGGCCCCTTGAGCAATGCTACAAACTGTCAGCTGGAAAAGGATTTAGGATCATCCACAGTAATCCCCTCATTTTATAGTTGACGACACCTAAACTTTATCTGTTACAGATAAATTACTTTATTAATTATGTATAACATTAATTTTAATTAATGATACAATATATTAATTATTATATTATAATTTCCTGGAAGTTACTATATAAAAAACTTAAATTTACTAACCATCTATCCAAATGAAGTGAACTAAACACAAGTTCTAATATACGTTAGATATATTTATCAACTATTTCCAGTTTTTCTGTGCAAATAAAATTTTTAATATCTTGTTTTAAGAAACACAGGAAACAGAAATCCAAAATGATGAAACAGATCAATTAGAGGAGAATTACTAACAATGAAAAAAGAATTTGCCCCTGAGTTGTTTTAAATATATTTTCTCTGATGCATTTACATCAAAGTAATAGAATTAGTCATTTTCAGTTGTGCCTGAATCTTTGTGGGCCCCCATTTGGGTTTTTTTTTTTTTGGCACACACTGGAGTGGTTTGCCATTTCCTTCTCCAGATCATTTTACAGATGAGGAAACTGAGGTAAACAGGGTTAAGTGACTTGCCTAGGGTCACACAGCTTGTAAGTATCTGAAGCCAAATTTGAACATAGGTTTTCCTGACTCTAGGCAAGGTACTCTACCCACAATGCCATCTAGCTGCCCACAAAGAATTATAAAAGTAGAAGTGCACTTAGAGGTCATTAGTCCAATTTCCTTGTACAGAAAAAGGAACAAGTCTAGAAGCTAAATAACTTGCAAGTCAGTTAGGGGCAGAGCCAGGTTAAGAACCCAGGCCTCCTGATTCCCAGTCACATGCTAATTACATAGTATTTATGTGGGTGTATGTGTTTATAGGTCAGTAATTTTTGTACAAAGAGGACAGAAAAATAGAGACTGAAACAAATATTTAGTTCCACTGGCAATTAAAAATCAACTGGAATTTAGAACGACACATTGTCTTTTTTTTTTCCAATAGTGAGGGGGAAGTGGGAGAGAGAAAAGGAAATGCTTAATTGAAAAAATTAAAGTGTTAAAAAGAAAATAAATGGGAAATATATATTATAACATCTATGGCATTTTATAATGGAATCAAAGGGAAAATATTAGTCATCTTATAAAAACTCAGGTCATAAGCAACTTTTCATGAACCTAGCTATTGTTTACTGGTGAGGTAGCAGCTAGGTAGCTCAATGGATAGAGCACCTCGGAGTTTGGAGGACCTGAGTTCAAATCCAGCCCCCTCAGACACTTACTAGCTGTGTAACCCTGGGCAAATCACTTAACCCTGTTTGCCTCAGTTTCTTCTGTCAAATGAGCTTGAAAAGTAGATGGCAAACCTCTCCAGTATTTTGCCAAGACAACCCCAAATGCGGTCAGGAAGAGTCAGACAGGACTGAAACAATTCAACAACAACAAGAGTTATGTTGATAGCTTTAATTTTGTCTTTGTCAAATTTGCAAATAAAACCTGGACATCTGTCTCCCTAAATGGCACCATATGTTAAGATGGTTATACCACCGTCAAAAGACAGGCTTACTATTACACTGTTGGTAGAGTTGTGAATTGGCAGTTTTGAAATGCAGTTTGGAATTATGCTAACAAAGTAACTAAGATGACCATCCCCTTTGATCCAGAGATTCCTTACCAGTCATATACAGGACATCAAGAAGGTCAAAGAAAGAAAGTAAGGCCCCATATGCACCAAAATATTTATAGCATCACTTCTTGTAGTAGCAAGGAACTGAAACAAGGTAGACGCTCATTGTATGGGAATGGCTAAACAAAGTGGTTATTAATGTATTACTGCGCCATACAGAATTGTGAGTACGAAGAAAACCAAGAAGTACAGGAAGACTTATATGGCCTAAAGCAAAGTGAAGTAAGCAGAACCAGGAAAAGAGTATATACAGTGACTACAAGGATGTAAATGGAAAAAAACAAAAACAACAAAATGAAATTGAAGAATGCATAACTGTAATGATCAATCTTGGCTCTGAAGAGTAAAGAAGAAAATGTACCTCCCTGCCTTCCTTGCATATACTATCAGACTCACTTGGTAAGTTGGCATTTTGCTGAACTCCTTTAGTCCCTTCTTACTTTTTTTAATTCTGTGTTACAAGGGATGACTATCTGAGGAGGGAAAAAGGAAGAACAT